CACCGGCCCCGCGACCCTGCCACAAGAAAAACACAGGCCGCGGTTGAGCTGGCGGGTTTATTTAGCGTCTGCGAGAAAGAACAAAACCACCTTTATTTTTGTCTTTTTTTTTTGGCTAGGGAGGTATGCGGAGTGGAGGTACCGGCTACAGGAGAGTGGTGGGGGAGCCCCCCCCGCCTGAGGAAAAGCCTCTTCCTTGTGTCCGTCCTCAGCTGGGGAGCCCCCATCTTGGAGTGTCTCTGGGGGATGAAGTGCCGAGGGACCCTCTCCGCCCCGTGGACTCGGTGCCGAGCAGGGCCAGCCCAACGGTGAGACCAAGCAGTGGCCTGGAAGGCAGGAAAACGCTGCTCCGGGTGGGGTGGAAAGCAATTTCCTACAAGCACAGCATTTAAACTACTCCCGGGCCCGTCTCCACGTGCTCCTGGAGCCCCAGCAGCAGCCGCTAGCATTGCGGTACACCCACAGCCTTCCCAACATGCAGCAGCTACCTGCTGCAGCGTCGCCTCTTCCCAAACACCCCGTCCCACGGGGTGGAAGAAGTTTGTCCCTGCCCTGAGTTTGCAGCCGTTGCCTTCGCTGTGTCTAAAACTGCTACGGGACGTGTAACCTCTGAGCAGAAGCCGTCTGGGCCTCAGGGGAGCGTTTCAGCATGGGCCTGAGGGCTGCCGCGATGTCGGAGGTGGGCTGGCATGAAGCAGAGGCGGGACGGGGACAGACTGCGGCAGAGACGGGGCCTGAGGGAGTCTGAGAAATCAAAAGAGCTGCTGCTTCTGTTTGGGGTTGATGATTGGCTGGGGATGTTTTGGGGAGTTTGCCGAAAGACAGTATGTAGATGTAATGGACTTACAAACAAACAAACAAAGCCCCAAATGCTCCAAACCGCCCCCTTCAAACAACAAACCCCACAAACCTTCCCCAGAGTATCGCCCTACTGAACTGGGCAAACCCCACAAATCTTCCCCAGAGTATCGCCCTACTGAACTGGGAAGCAGGCTGTGCCCCAGCTGCTGTGCTTTTTCTATCAAGCAGGGGATGAAATTTGTCCTAGAAAGAAGCTGCCCTTGGGAGCAGGAGGATCATGGCCCGGCATTGCTAGCTTAGGGCTTGGCGAGTCCCGTCTTGCTCCGAGGAGCTGCTGCTGCCCGCCAAACTGCCTGGTCCAAGTCAACCCCGTCACCGATGGGACATGGTGGGACGAGACTTGGCAACCCCTCTGCCCATCCGGGGCCCGGCTGCCCTTCCCTGCCTGCCCACAGCAGGGCTGCGGCGGAGGGGAGCTGGTGGTGCAGGCGCTCGGAGCCGCCACGGTCGCAGGCAGGACCTGACAGCCCTGGGCTTGCTTTACCACGGCTGCCAGGGGGTTTCCAGGGGAGGAAGCGAGACCGAGAGGCGGAGTGAGGGTTTGAACAAGCCGCCTGGGGCCTCGCTCCTTCCCGTGCCCTACCCTGTGCTGGGTGAAGACCACCCAGCCCTGCTCCGGCCATCCCCCGGCTCTCGATGGCGGGTGCATGGTGGGGGCGAGCTGTCGGCTGTAGGAGTGGTGGGCAGCGGTGGTCACCGGCTGGGGGAATGTGGAGGATAAAGAGAATAAAGCTTTAGACCCTCGGAAGCCTCAAAGCAGTGGAGGGGGGGGGGGTATTGCCCTTCTGTGCCAGATGGGGAAACTGAGGCACTGAGCAGAACTGACTTGAGCAAGGTCCTGCTGGGAGGCTCTTCTGCAGCAAGCGGGGGCTCGGCTCCGGGGTTGGGCTGCTTGGAGAAGTCTGAGACCAGACACAGCTCTGCGGTTTCGTTAAAGCCCGGTTTGCTGCTGGCTGCTAAAAATATAGAAGTTTTGCTTGCAGGAAACCAAATGTAAATCAGCCATGAGAGCAGAAAAGCTCACGCTGCGCTGGCTGCTGAACCTCATCTCCTGTGGCAGTGGGGCGATTTTTTTTTTCTTTTTTTCTTTTTTTTTTCTTTTTTTTTTTTTTGGTCTTTTTTTTTTTTTCTTTTGCCGTCCTTTAGATGCGCTACGCTTTGGTTCTGGACTCCCCAGTGCTGAGGTCAGACTACAGGGAAAGCAGGTTTCTGACAGTCTTGGCTTGCACACGGGAACATCCCTGCGCCCGGCGAGGACAGCAGCCGGCGGGGGGGGGGGGGGGGGGGAAGGGGTTCTTGTCCTCGGGGATTCCTTTCAGCAGCGGGTCCTCGCCCGCCATGGACTCGATGTACTCCTTGATCTCTTTGCCGGTCTTGGAGACCTGCCAAGGAAGGAGATGCTCTGCGTGGGTTACGGGAACCAACCCTCCCTGCAGAGCTGCGCTCCCGCTCATCGGCTGCCTACGAACCCGTTCGGGCAGCCGGGAGAGGGGAACTCTGGCCATCAACATCCCACCCAGCGCGGGGTGTCCCCGAGAGCGTCCCCGGGGAGCTACGGCCACCTCGCTGCGTGCGGGGCTGCAGTTCCCAGGCTCTGGGACGTGGGGCTAAGCCCGAAGGGCATGTTTGCCTCGAGGGGAGAGGTGTGAATGCACATGCTTCTGCCTGTATTTGAGGTTGAATTTCAGGGATTGTGGGTTTGTTTTTGGGTTTTTTTTTTACCTTTGCAGCACGATCAGGTCAGGGAGTTACCCCGGGGAGCAGCTCCTTTGCATTTTGGGTGAAAAACTCACCATTTGCCTCTCGTTCTTCACCTCCTTCTTCAGCTGATCCAGCTCCATCTTCAGCAGCTCCTTTTCTGTCATGTCCTGAGCCATTTTGCCCTGTAACCACGGGGAAACGGCACGTTGTTAGTATATAGATGGGCTTCTCCTGCGGCACATTAGGACTACTGCTTTGGCCCTAATAGTGTTGCAAACGTTGCTAATGCCTCAGCTGCCCCCATGGCGAGACATGGGCTGACGCTAAAAAAAGAAAACCCGAGGCGGGAGGCATCTTTCAGGCGCCTTTCAAAGCCCTTCTTGTAACATCTGCTGTAACCAGATTTTCGTTTGCATGTTCTCAGCAGGCACATCGAGCGACAGATGCAGTTTGAGGGCAGCGGAGGAGGATCCAGCCCGGTTTTTAAAGAGGTCTTTGCTACCCCAGAGGCTGTTTCCCCAAGACACGAGGTGGCCAGTTCAGCGGGGCCGGCTGAGCCCGTAGAAAAGCCGCTGCCTCGGGGTTGTCGGAAGCAGCAGCCTCGTAGGAGAACCTGGATGCCCAGGTCTGCAAACTAGATCTTCCTGATCTGTGTCCTGTGCCTGGGCAAGAGCATCTTTGCAGGTTTTCTAAGGAACTAAATATTTTTTTTCCTTTTTTTGTTTTTTTTTCTTCTCTCCCCTCCTTATGTCTGGCCCCCAGGTAAGTGCTAACATGGATTCATGGCTGTGAACTTGGCTATTTGCATGCAGAGGCATTGCTTGCCGCGACAGAAGGATTTTGGGGCTGTGTGGGCTGGAAAAGCCCAGCTCTTTTTTCCCACGAAAGCCCATCCAAGGGTTATGTGAGATACCTGCACGGCTGAGATCTGTTCCCATGTTTAAACTTGGGTTTGAAAGCCTGGCCACAACCTTTTAAATAAAAAAAGTAAACGTGATTAAGCTGAAACGTGCCTTGGCCCCGCTTTGGAAGGCGTCGAGCTTGTGCGCCCTGGACCCCGCTGGTTTTCTGCGGCTGCTCTCGTGGCGTGTGTGCCCAGTGCTCCTCTCCCCATCGACGCCCTCGGCGCACAGCCGGCCCCGGGAGATCCTTGTGGCAGAGGAGCCGAAAGCCACAGCACAGCCGTGCTACCAACCCACGGAGGAGGTGGCTCCCAAACCGTGTGGACCCCACGATGCCATTTGTACCTGGAGGGAGCAAAGCCACTTACCTCCGGGGACGAGGGGCTGCCCCTCTCGGCGGTGGAGACGTTCAGAGATCCATCCGAGAGGAGACGCCGTCGACTGGCCCCTCGCTCTCCTGATCCAGGCTTGAAGACTCCTTCAGCTTTCTGGGAGGGTAGCGGGGAGCAGATGTCTTTGGTCCTTAAGCTGATAATAGACTCAAGCGAATAAGCTGGTCAGGTGTTGGGCATTAGCCTCAAAGCCCCCCGGGGTAATCTGTGGTGGGGCTGCGGGGAGGGGGAGGATGGGGGAGGAAGGGTGGGGGGGAGA